AGATCAACAGTAAAAGATGGTGAGTAGTTCATTGGATGAGGACAAGCTAGATCTAAAGATTCGTGCCACTCATGTGCAAAACCAATAAAAACAATAATTTTATCTCTTTTGAAAATTCCTGCCTTATTGTAGAAATGAAGTCAAAGAGCAAGCCTCAAAAGATGGAATAACCTCAGTAGTTCGAAGAGTTTCAATAATTGAAAAAAATTCAAGAGCAATTCTCACACTTTTTGTAGGATGCTCATTTCACACAAAAAAACTCTACTATAGCTTTCTTTACTTGAAACTTCTTTTTCTTTGCAGGTACCACAAATGAGAGTTATCCTTTTTATTCTAGTCATTTTCTTAGTTTCCTTTAGCCGAAGACTGACTTTAGAATCTGATATTAATAACATAGAATGAGAACTTGCCCCAACATTAGATGGTTCTCCCCAAGTGTTTGTAGTAGCTTGCCCTTATGAAGTATCTTTATCTCTAGTTTCACCATCTTTATCATCTACATCTTCTAAAGAGGTAGCGACTTCAAGATCTAGACGAAGCATATCAACAAAATTACGGATAATGCTAAAAATAGATATAAAAATTAAAAATTTAATTATTTTAAGACAAGTGCACTTATGAGCTGTTTTTGTTACGAAGGGGTATATGATTAATTCATCAACTTTCGAACTAATCTTTTTTAATATAAATAACTTTTTTGGTCTTCGGAAGTAACTGCCTTGTCAGTAAGAAATGATTGTGGATTAGTTGGAATCGGCCATGAAATTCTTATAGCATACGAAACAAAAGCGATTCATACAGTCACATAATTTTGAATTCCACTTGCAGAGAGTAGAATAAGGCAGTCCTTGTATGCTTTCATAGTGAATAGGTGGCAGAACAAGTTGAGCAGCCGTGCACCTTCTTCATCCTCATATACGAGATTATCGACAAGATGCTAACAAAAAAATTGGACATTATCTATGTTTGAATAACTCTAAAAAAGTTTAGAATGTTAGCCAACTTAGTGTATAGTAACTGAAATTTGTCTTGATAGCAATGTAATTTTCATCGGATAATGAATTCAATGGTTCATCTTCGAGTGCTAGGCATAACTTCACAATGTCTCTAAAGACGTAGTTAGATTGCATTATTGACTTGTGCATGTAATATGCTTATTTTTCACCTTAATTTTACCTTTTTTTATGTTTATGTTATGCTTTGTGAAAGGTTTTAGTGTTGTGTTGCATGATTCAGGAAGGAGATTGAAAGAAGCATGAAACAAAGTGAAATAGAGTTGATTGGTGTTATGGGGCCTAAGAGTCAGAACTAGGCGTCTAGGAGCTAGGATTAGGCACCTAGGTTGCAGATACATGTCCAGTTTGAGTAGCAAATAGAGTTGATGGAAAGTAGAGGCTGGAAAGTAGATGCCAGACTACTAGGGCCTAAGCATCAAGACTGAGTGCCTATGCACCCGAAAAAGCTAACAAACCGAGAACCTGGAAAGTAGGCGTCATGGTAGTTGCTTCTAGGTGCTAGAGATTGGGCACTTAGGTATTGCCCGTGGGCACTTGAGCGTCGGTTCATCCCAGATTTTGCTCAAAAATTCTAAGAGCTTGGAAAGTAGGTGTTGTGTCTGCAATGCTTAAGCGCCACATTGTCAGAGCCTAGGTGCCGTGACTCGGGCCACTAGACGCCCAGTGCCCTAGACTAGAAACTGTGACAAGAGCCTAGGCGCCAGCCAGTGGCGACA